CCTAGCACTTTCCAAGTCAGGAGGGCCCAGCCACTTCCTCAGGCTTGAGGCCACCAGAATGCCACCTGGAGGAGAGGCCAGAAAGCTGTGGAGCATCCCTGAGACCCCCTGGCAACATCGCTTCAAGGATCCTCTGGAAGACCTGCCTTCCTTCCAGATACTGAGGACCAGGTGGAAAGGCAGGGGCTGACTTGCAGGTGGGGTGCCTTGAGCAGCACATGGAACAGGACTAGGTTTTCTTTAAGGCAAAAAAGGCGAAACCAGCCCCGTGCCACCTGTTTGCCTAGTGTGAGCGATCCCTCATCATGACCGAGATGGACTTGGCCCAGAAGGACTTGCCAAAGTTTTTCTTGACTGTGGCCTCATTTGGCCTTGGGGTGTCTCCTCCCTGCCTGTCAGCCGCTCTTTGTTCTGTGAGGTCAGACAAAGAGAAAAGACATATCTACCATTATAGTATCACCCAGGGTATTTTCACTGCCCTAAAATCCTGCATTTCCCCTGTTCATGACTCCTCCCCCAACCCTGGGAAAACGCTGCTGTTGTTACTATTTCCACAACTTTGCCTTTTGGGGCGCCTGGGTGTTTCCATTCATTAATTGTCTGGCTCTTGATTTCTGATCAGGTTATGATCACACAGATCACGGGTCCAAGCCCTGCATGGATTCTGTGCTGGCAGCCCTGACTGCTTTGTATTCTCTCTCTCTCTCTCTCTCTCTCTCTCTCTCTCTCAATCTCTCTGTCTCTCCCTCTGCCTCTTGACTGAGTTCTCTCTCTCAAAAGGTATAAATAAACATAACAAATGAATTTGCCTTTTCCAATAGTCATGTAGTTGTAACAATGTGTACCCTTCACATTGGCGTCTTTCATGTGGTAACATGCATTTAAGTTCCCTGTGAGTCTTGTTGTGATTTGATAGCTTGTTTCTTTTTAGAGCTGGTGATGTTCCCTTGTCTGGATTGACCAGTGTTTTTATTTATTCATCGAGTGCAGGAGCACTTGGTTCTTCTAGGTCTTGGCAATTATGAAGGAAGTTGCTAAATACATCTAGATATAGGTTTTAGTGTGAACTAGGTTTTCAACTCCTTGGGCAATTACCCAGGAAGGAGGTTGCTGAATTGTACAGTATGAACATTTTGGGGTTTCCAGGAAACCATCAGGCCATGTTCCAAAGCGGCGGTGCCGTGTTGCGTCCCTGCCGCAGGAGTGAGAGCTGCTGGGGCGGCGCCTCCTCCCCAGCACTGGGGGAGGTGGTGCTCAGCCTGTGATTATTCTAGCAGGTTCAGGGTGACTCATTAATTCCGTTTCCATTTCCCTGAGGACATGTGATGTGGGGCATCTTTCCTGTGCTTCTCTCCCATCTCTGTATCCTCTTTGGTGAAGTGTCTGTTAGTGCCTGGGGCCTCTTTCTTGGTTGGGTTGTTGGCTTCCTTATTATTGAGTTTTCAGTGTTCTTTATATATGTTGGCTAACACTTCCTTATCAGATATGCCTTTTGCAGTGTTTTTCTCCCAGTGTGTGGTTTGTCTTTGTCTTCCTGTGATTGTCTTTGCAGAGCGGAAGTGTTTCATTTCACTGAATTCCAGCTTATCTCATCTTTCGTTCATGAATTCAGCCTTTCGTGTCTTTCTGAAACATATTGCAGGTTCCAAGAACATCTAGATTTCTCCTATGTTGTCCTGTAGGAGTTTCCCAATTCTTCATTTATGTGGAGGTCGCTGATCCACGGATTTATCTTCTGTGAAGGGTGTGAGCTCTATGTCTGGGTTATTTTTTTTCTTTTTCTTTTTCTTTTTCTTTTTTTCTGCACAGGGATGTCTGACTGGTTGTTCAGCATCATTTGTTGAAGAGACTGTCTTTCATCCATGGGCCTTTCCTCCTTGTCAAAGTCAGTTCACCATCTATACGTAGGTCTATTTCTGGGCTCTCTTCTGTTGCAGGATCTTTTTGGCTCTTGGCTCTTCTCTTCCCAAATCTGTACTGTCTTCATGATTGTAACTTTATAGGAGGTCTTGAAGGACCGTGTCAGCCATCCACCTTCACTCTTCTGCAACATGGTGTGGGCTCCTCTGGGTCATTTTCTCTCCATGCAAACTGTAGAATCACATGATCAATATCTCCAAGATAACTTCCTGGGATGTAAATTGTTTTTGAGCTAATGGACTGATCACATTGGGAAGAATGGATATGTAGACAATAATGAACCTTCTTATCCATGAACATGGTCTATCTCTGCTTGTATTTCGAAGTCTCTACTTTTGTTTATAAGAGTCTTGTAGTTTTCCTCATAAACATCTTTGAATATTTTATTATATTAAGGCCTAAATAATTCACTTTTGGGGATGTTAGTGTAAATGGTGATGTATTTTCAGTTTCAAAATCCATTTCTTCATTGCTGTTGTGAAAGTGAGTAATTGAGTCTCATATAAGAACCTGTGTTTCTTGCAAGCGTACTATCATCCTCATCAGATGAATTTTGGATTTTGTACGTAGAAAACCATGTCACATGTGTACAAGTTGGTTTTATTTCATGCTCCACAGTCAGTATACCTCTTACTGAATTTTCTTAAGGTGGGGGAGAAGCAAGCCCCACCCTGAGCAGGGCTGGAGGCACTGGCTCGTGTGAAGCAGGCAGTACAGGCGGGAGACTGTGGTCAGCAAGGGCCTCTGTGGACTTCAGAGCCTGCAGACCTGCAACCACAGGCCTTGTTTCCTCTGCCTGGGGGTGTGAGAAAGGAGAGAGGCTGCCTTGGGGCAGGCTGGCCTCCCTCCCCCTCCAATGTCGCTTCTCAAGGTCAGGAGGAACTTGGGTTTGGAAAGATCGTTGGCTTAAGAGCCTGAGATATGGGCCTGGTCCTGCCATGTCCTGGATTCCAGTCCACGGGCTCATCAAGTTCCCTAAATGGGCCCTGACTTTCCTCATCTGTGAAACGGCCTCTCCCAGGGACTGTGCCTGTGAACCACATAAACATAGACACACTGTGGTCAGTGAATTAACTCTCTTGCTGCCCAGGAGAACAGGAAGAGATGGAGATCTGTATCTGGAGGATGAAAATATCCCTGGTGTGGTGCCAGCATGGAGTGCGCGGTGGCTGCCCCTCCCGTGTCCCTGACCTGCAGCTGCTGGGGGCTCTGTCCTAGGCCCTGGGCCCCACCCCCCACGCACTGGTGTTCATGAGCCAACACTCCTCCCCTGAGAGTGCTCCCCAGGGGGTTGGGATGCGGACAGGGGTATGGCCGACTTGCTCCCCATCATGCTGGAGTGACCAGTGGTGAGCTGCCCAGATGTGGACTCTATCCAGCAGTTTCTACCCACGAGGCTCAGGGACTGAGGCTTCTGAAGGACCAGCCCCGTTATGGGACAGGAGTGTGGGAAGAAGGCAGGGTTGATGCTCTCCTGCCTGAGGTGCACAGAGCAGGACGGGAAGCCAGGACTGGATGCGGTGACTTGCTGCAGCCCACATTGTTGAAGTGCAGAGAAAAGCAGAAGGGAAATTTGACTTGTTAAATGGATTAAGGACACAGGACAGGCCCAAAGTACAGGGGGTGAGGGGGAGGGGACGAGTCCTTGGTAGGGTGGTTATTTGACTATTCGCCCAGCCATGGGCTGTCCCTGGGCAGCAGGGCTCCTGGAGTGAGTGTGAACCCTGAGACACAAGGAAGGGGTCCTGCTGGGGGCCGGCTGGGGAGCAGAGATCACCAGGCCGGTGGTGCCCACAGGAAGGGACCTCTCCCACCCAGCAGCTCATCGAGGAGGTGCTCATACATTCATCTGCCATCATTCCCTGAGAAGACCCAGTGCAGGGGGAGGAAAGAGGAAGCATCTGAATGGCTTTCTCTAGAGCAGCCAGCTTGTTCTAGACAGTTAGCTCCGCCCCTGGGGTGGGAAGAGCTAACAGCTGATCTGAGTGAACCTTTCCTCCTCTCTTGCCTCTGCCTTCTGGATGTTTTTCTGCAGCGCAGTAGGCCCAGAGCATGCCTGGAGGGAGGCAGCCTGTGATGGGAACTTGTCCAGAGGCCCCCCGCCTGTGCTGGGCCCCCTGAACCTGGGGTTCACCAGCCTTCTCTTCAGTGAGTGTTCTTGGTCCCTGGGCAGGAGGCTGCTGTGCAGGCCATGGGTCTGATGTCTGTGGGGAAGGGTCTGAAACATCACCTCTGTCATATGGCATGTGCAGGGCCTTTGGTTTCCAGGTCAGGGCAGGGCTGAAGGGTTGGAGGACAATGAGCTTTAGGGTGTGGTGAAGCCAGGCCTGGGTCCCAGGAGCCCTCACAGGGTCCACGCGTGCTGGTCACAGCCCCTGGGCTGCTACATCAGATTCCCGGGGCTGAGGGAACAAGATCCCATAGACCTGGTGACTTGAACTACATCAAGCTGTTGTCTCATAGTCCTGAGGCTGAGATCCAAAATCAAGTTTCTGGACAGTGTCTGATGGGAGGGATGCAGAGCCGTGCCGTGGGGACCCGGGACATTCGTGTCCTGACTTGCTTAGAGGGACCTGGGGGCCGTGTCCCCTGCCGTCTCCGTGCACCTGGTCTGTGCCGTGTAGGGGAGGGTCCTGCACCCAGGGCACGTGTCTGCCCCGACCTTGTCCTGCACTGGGGGTCAGAGGACGGTGACCTCTGGAGGGAAGGGACGGAGGAGGGGCCGGCAGGGGGCTGAGGGCTGAGTCCCTGTCACTCTCCTGGGTGGCCCGGGGCAGGGACGGTGTGACCACCTTCCCCCTGGTGCAGGTGCTGAGGGTCTATGCCCTGAGGACGAGGGGATAGTGGGCCCATGGTGGGAGCCCCAGGCCCATGAGGGAGGCCAGCGGGCCTGGGGTGAAGGCCTGTCATGCAGCCTAACTGACCCTGACTCGGGCCTGCCCATAATGAGACAGGACCCACCTATGTAAGCACCATCCCTGTCACCTGTTCCTGCATCCCCTGCTCTCCCCAGGGTCCTTGAAACACCATGTGGGTGTCCAGCCTGTGCAGGTCAGGACCTGGGGTGGCTACTCTGGAGGATGAGTCCCACGGCCTCTCAGACTGAAATCCAGGTCTGTGTGGAGCTGAGGGAGCTCAAGGCCAATCGGGAGGGTGTGGTTTCCTCTCACCTATGCACTTGCTGGGATGGAGCTATCCTAGGGCTGGACTCAGCCTTCCCTCCTCAGAGGTGGTGGCCAGAAGCTACATTCCATCCCAGCCACATGGGTGTCCCAACAACAGAGCCCCAACATGGCAGTGGGCTCGTCCCAGCAGCGAGAGACAGGCTGTGAACGAGATGGAAGTCACAGTCCTGTGACACCTGCTGTCATTTAGCCACGGAGGAAACTCCTCCTACACTTGTGCACTTGGCATTGACCCGAAAAGTGTTCAGTGCTTTCCATCTGTATGTCATCACGTCCAGACTCTCAACTTCAGAGGGTGAGGACACCCAGGTGAGCAGTTCAGGACCGTGTTCAAGGGGACGCCCCACCAGGACCAGGACTGATTCCAGCCTCGCCCCAGGTTCGCGCTCTGTCCCGCCCCCCGGAGTCCAGGGATCCACCGGGTGGAGTTCATTACCACGATGGGGTCTATGGTTTTCTCCTCGTTCTTAATGAAACACACTCACAATTTGTGATTCCAATGCCCTAGGCACCTTCAGCACTGCGGTCAGGAGCTCTGGGTTCCGTGGATCTGGAGTGGAGGATTCCAGAAACCTAGTTTCCCTGAAGGGGACTCAAGGAGGTTCTGAGGTGTTTCATGTGACCAGACGTCCAGAAGTACCTCCTGAAGCCAAGCTGGAGAAGATTTCTTGGGCCGTTAAAAAAGAGTCAAACTACATAGTCCTCCTGCACGTGTCTCCTGGGGTAGATGTTCCAGAACGGGTCAACCCCCAGGACAAGTTCCAGAAGAGGCTCTATGTGCCCAACACAACGACCCTGAGGATTGACAAGCTGACCCTCGAGGACAGTGGGTGGTACCCTAATCAGGGATTAGTAGCCAAACCTGGAAGTAGGAGCTCAGGTGAGTGGCGGGGGTGAGGTCCTGGTGTAGGAGAGATGGGTGCTGGGGATGAGGGCAGAGATCTAAATTACAGGACTGTGACTGGGGCGGGGGTGTGTGTGAGCGTTATCTGGGGGTGGGTGACCTGGGAAAGAGGGATCCCTTGTGAATCCTGAGTCTGATCCAAGGTCCTGATCCAGGTTTCTGGGGTGAAACAGCCTTGGGTGTAGAGTGGAGTTCTTGCCCCACGGACTGGGACAGATACTGAGAATGAGGGTCTATCCCAGGGAGGGAGATGGGACACAGGAGTCCCTGAGGTGACAGGTCACTGGGGGCAAATACCTGGTCCTGAGAGAAGGTTTTGGTCCCTGGAAGAAGCCTGCCTTGAAAGATGTAGGAAATGCACCCACGTAAACCTCACACCCCGCTCCCAGGTGAGGCCTCTGTCACACTGTCCATCCCTGCCTTCTCACCTCTTTGGGCTGGCTTTCTTTCTAGGGGTGCAGTCATCCCTGTCAATCAGGTGGAGAGGCTCTGAGAGGCAGGATGCGCGGTGCTTAGGGACCCTGTAAGGCACTGGTCCCCCCCGGGAGCACCTCCATCTCAACAGGTCCCACCAGGTGTACCCCAAATCCACCTGTCCCCGCTGAGCACTCCCAGCAGCTGCACCTGCCTGCCTCCCCCTCCTGCTGTAGGACCCTGAGCAAGTCACCTGCCACCATGCACCTGAGATTTCTCCTGAGCCAGAGAGGATGCTCATAACGGACTGACCTCCTCAAGCTGTTCATGGGGTTAAATGAAAAAATACTTGAATTGGTGTCTAGCATTATGTACTCAACCAATAACAGCCATTATAAAGAGGAAGTCTAGGGGCTCCAGGGTGGCTCAGTTGATGAAGCGTCTGACCTCGGCTCGGGTCATGTTCTCAGGTTCCTGAGTTCAAGCCCTGCATGGGGCTCTGTGCTGACAACTATAGTGTAGAGCCTGCTTTGGATTCTGCATCCCTTTTCTCTCTTCCATCCCCTGCTTGGGCTCTCTCTCTCTCTCTCAAATAAATAAACATTTAAACAAATATAAAGGGGGAAATCTAGAGTTCTCTCTCCAGCACCATCGATGGAGGGAGTGACTCTTTTTTTTTTTAATTTATTTCTAGGAGAGAGAGAGAGAGACAGCGTGAGCAGGGGAGGGCCAGAGAGAGAGGGAGTCAAAGACTGAAACAGGCTCCAGGCTCTGAGCTGGCAGTCAGCACAGAGACCGACGCGGGGCTCAAAACCACGAACCATGAGATCATGACCTAAGCGAAATTCTGACGCTTAACCGATTAAGCCACCCAGGCGCCCCGGGAGTGACTCTTGACCTGGGGATCGTGAGTTCGAGCTCCACTTTGGGTGTTGAACCTACGGAAAAAGTAGTCTAAGGTTTGTTACCTTCAATTAAAAAAAAATAATGACACTGGAAATAACTGTTCTGTGTTCTCTCTGGAAGATAGCTCCTATGACAAACACAGTATTATACACACATGATTAAATTGGAGCAAAAGTGTCCAGAAAAAAATGTCTCCCTCCTCCCTTGTTTCCCCAGCCCCTCTTCTGGAGGGAACCCATCCATGTGCTCACAGTTCACTGTAGCTACTGTGCTTCTCAAAGCTACTTTGTATCAACAATCCAGACACATCATAAATTGGAAAAGCAGAACTCTGGTAGTGAAATAAAGTTCTTTATGTCTTTGAAAAGAGAAAAAAACAAAAAAACAAAAAAACAATCCAGACACATCAATATTTTCTGCGCCACTAAGTAACATCACTGTAAAGAAGTATCCTGGGGGCAGGCAGGTGGTGCAGTGGGTCAGCCTCTGACTCCTGATCTGTGCTCAGGTCATGATTTCGTGCCTTTTGTGTCTTTCCAAAAGATATTCGCCAGTCCCAAGAACATCTAGATTTCTCCATGCTGTCTCGTCGGAGTTTCCTGATTCTTCATTTATATGGAGGTCACTGATCCACCGAGTTAGTTTTTGTGAAGAGTGTGAGCTCTGTGTCTCCATTCTTTTTTTTTTTCTTTTTTTGCACGTGGATGTCTGGTAGTTCCAGCACCGTTTGTTGAAGAGACTGTCTTTCATCCATGGGCCTTTGCTCCCGTGTCAAAGATCAGTTCACCGTGTATATGTGGGTCCATTTCTGGGCTCTCTCTCCTGTTGCATGATCTATTTGGCTCCTCTCTCACCAAATCCGTACTGTCTTGATGACTGTAACTTTATAGGAGGTCTTGAAGGACGGGATGTCAGCTGTCCACCTTCGCTTTTCCACAACACGGTTGGGCTCCTCTGGGCCATTTTCTCTCCCAGCAAAGTGTAGAATCATATGATCAATATTTACAACATAACGTTCGGGGATGTAGATCATGTTTGACTGAATGCATTGATCATGTTGGGGAGAATGGATATCTAGACAATATCAGGACTTCTTTTCCATGAACATGGGCTACCTCTGCATATAGTCTGATTCTGATTAAGAGTGTCTTGTAGTTTTCCTTATAAAGATCTTTACATATTGTGTTATATTCATGCCATAGTTCATTTTTTGTTGTCAGTGTAAAGGACACTGTGTTTTGCATTTCAGATCGCACTTTTTCGTTGCTGGTGAGTAACTGAGTGTCATGTAGGAACCTTGTGTTTCCTGCAAAGATATTATCATCCCTCATCAGGTGAAGACTACTTTATCTTCTTGTGTGGATTCTTTTAGATTTTGTACGTAGAAAACCATGTCACATGTGCACAAACATGGTTTTATTTCATCCTCGTCAGTCCATCCTCTTATGGAATTTTCTTGTTTAATTGTGTCACCTAGGACTTCAAGTACAATCACGAAAAAGGATAGTGACAAGAGCCACCCTTCCTGGTTTATGGTCGAGAAGAAGGATTTCCCACCTCTGGGCGTCAAGTATGATGTTAGCTGTGGTGTTTGTGGAGACGATCTTGATCATGTTGAAGAGACTCAACATCAATTCTGTGGAATCACACGACTTAGGCAGTTAACACTCACCTCCACAGGTGGACCCCATCTTCCCTTCTTCCTGGGACACAGAGAAAAGAGCAAACTCTTCCACTAACACAAATACCACGTTTACCTTCCAAGCTGCCAAGAGTAATTTAGAACAAACTGGTTTAAAGCAAAGGGACTCATGTCTCTTTTCTATACATAATGGACGCAGAGCAGCTCCAGGAAAGACCAGGTCTCAGAATTAGGCAAATGCATACTTCCCAAAGGAGAAGCCACAGAGTTTCCAGAGGACACATGATCGCCCTGCTTCAACATGTGGTTGGCTTGTCCAGAGAACACTGGCACGTTGTCTGGAGCCCAGTTGGTGCTACTGCTGAGCCCCAAGGCCCTCCTTGAAGATAGACGGTTGTGTTCTTGTTCTCCTTCAGGCTGTCGGTGCTGGTACGTTGTTTCTGGTTGTCACCTGTGTCTGCAGGGGCAGGTGCTCTGGTCCCTCTCAAGGCCCTGATGGCTTCTATCACTGCCTCCAGACCCACCCCGAGCAACAGGCATGTGTCCAGGCTCAGGGAAGACTTCCTTCACCAGCCTGAGCACCTGGTCCCACACCCACCTGCACCTTGGCTCCCTCTGTGCCCTGTTTCTGGAAAGTGAGTCCCCTCCCCTCCCCTGTATTTAGGAATCAGGGCACAGTTAGATGACATTCCTGTCATGCAGCTGGTGTCATTTTCCGGTTGCAGGTCAGAAGTGGTGTTTCTGTCCTGTTTTCTTTTTCACTGTGTCTTTAAGAAGAACAAGTAAAATGATGGGAAATAGTGACCCCTGTCGGCCTTTCCCTGTCACCCAGACCCTCTCCAAGGAAGGTCAGTGCCAGAGACCCACTGTCTATAAAGCAAGGACATCAGATGTCTTGGCCCACAGGTCTGGAGACACCACAGGTAGATTTGTCAGAACAGCACACTTGGGCCTTTGCTCTAGGATGTGGGTCAAACTATATCTAGGTCTAGACTTGACAACAGGCAGGAGGAGTCCTCGCGGGAGCATGTCCCCCAGGTCAGGTTGGGGCCCTGCTCTGATGGTCAGAATCTAGAAAGCAAGTCCTCCTCCAGGGCTCCAGTCTGGGAACCCTACAGACAACGGGGACAGTGACTTGCCTCCCTCCNGGGGCCCTGCTCTGATGGTCAGAATCTAGAAAGCAAGTCCTCCTCCAGGGCTCCAGTCTGGGAACCCTACAGACAACGGGGACAGTGACTTGCCTCCCTCATCCCCTGGATCCCAAACCAGGGGCCCAGGAAATGGAACGGGGAGATGGAGTACCGGCCCCTTACCAGCTGGAAAGGGCCAAGGCAGCTCTCGCTGGGACTGGAGGGTCGGGGGCACATCTGAGCACATGGTTGGGGTCTGCCCCATGGTCGGCCATCTCCAGGAAGGAGGGGCCCTTCCACCCCTGTAAGGGCAGGTTTTGAGGGCTTTGGCAATAGTGGCAGTGTCATTGCTGGGGTTCTGGTTCTGAAGGTAATCAGAGGAAGCTCCGGTGCCCTGTCGGAGCGGTGTCCCGAGGGAGGGGGTTGCTTCTCCTTGCTAATATTGCTTTAGAGACGCCAGGTGCATGGGGCCCATGTGAGCTCAGGACTCACCTCAGTGTGGTGACTTTGGGGTGAACATGAGTCACACTTGTTTCCGGCACACGCGGGAAGTGGATGCACTTCTTTTTGCCATCTATTTGCCCCCATCCAATGACCACACGGGCCTGAGTTAGTGCTTGGGATCCACGGCCTCTCTTCATCTGGGGGTGACGACTCCATTGCATAGTTGGTGCGTGTGTACAGTACACACTCCCATGTCTGCACTAGGAGGGGCTGCAGGCTCCTAACCTGAAATGCAGACGGGAGCTGGAGAGGGAAGGAGTTTCTATCCTCAGGGGTTTCCCATCCCCAAGGTCAGTCTTATTTCTGTGAAAGGAAATGAAGGAGGT